GAGCTCTTTCAAGAGTACTGTCCAACTAGTGAATGGCTGTTGCTTGCGTTGTTCTGTAGACTGTTTATGGACGAACAAATCAAAATTTTACTTTCGGATGAGGGAATTTGAATGTAATTGTGTCAGCAAGTCGGTGGTGGTGGAATCGTAGGATATATGAGGTGCAGCAAGCGTACAGCAGTTGTTGATTAGTTGGGCGGCACTTGATTCAGCCTGATTTCCAGTTGGGGTTGATGGTGTCTGTGAAAGTCATGGGCAGGTTTGGGGTGCCATCTCAGTCATTTGAGGTTGACGAAATTTGTCCCACCTGAAAGTATGTTCGAATTGGAAGTCAGGCTTTTCTCCTTCAGGCCTCTGGTCGCGAAACGGCACTTCGGAACCCGTCTAGCGACCAGTTGGCCCCCAGAATTGATCAGACTGTGGGTCTGTAACGGATATTTCCAGAATTTTTTGAATTCCCGCTCTTAAGATGAAGCCAATTGCTACAGCTGTGCCAAGTTGCCACGTTTAAAAGCAAGCCAAATTCGCATTGCTTGTTACTTTCATTCGTCTGTTTCAAGATTTTTATTTATTTTTTTAATTCCTAAAGAATTTATCTTCTCGTATCCAAGAAACTGGAATATCCTAGAAACTTCCAAGTGTATGGGAACAAAACCAGAAAAACCTTCCCCCTGAAAGTCCCGAACCTGACCATCCAGAAAATATTTCCTTCAAAAATCTTGAAAAACTTCTTTCTGCCGCCCCGAAACTAAACTATCCAAAAAGTATTTTTTCAAAAATTATGGAATCATCTCTCATTTATAAAGTTCTGAAATTGACATTCCAAAAACATTTTTCGTAAAATTTCAATTTTGGTACTCCAAGAATCCTTTTTTTTTTCGAATATCCAGATCTAAGGCATCCAATATCCTTTCTTTATATATGTACGAGAAAGGAATTTCTGAAAAACCTGCCTTCCAAAAATTTTCAAACTGGTTCATTCAAAATTTCTGACTTTAAAATTCTAAAAAAATCTCTTTCGGAATTTCCGAAGCTAAACTGTCCAAAAAAATTTTTGTCCAAGCTTTATTGAAACAAAATTTCCGGTTTCCTCTGAGGGGAATCCCCCTCCCATGTCCAACATTCCTGTGGGGAAACGGTAAGCAATCTTTCCGGAGAGGTTGAAATTTCAATCGAATTGTCAGAAACGTTGAGGCAGTAAACTTGAAATAAAAGTGGATAGCTGACTACTAAACTAAGCCGAAATTACGATAAAGTGAAGGTGAAATGTAATCCAAAAAATTTTTGGAATTAGAAAACTGAGCGAAGTAAATTTCAAGAAAAGGAGTTCGAAAAGATGGGAATTTCTCATCTATCAAATACAATCACCGCTCGTCTGCCGCAACTCCAAGTCGAACAAGAAAAAAGAATTGAATAAAATATATTTATTATAGAAGAACATAATAAGATGATGCAAACAATAATCAGTCGCGGGATTGGTTGATTGGAGGTCGAAAGCTAACAGCCTTTGCTTGCTAGGGTTGATATCTGTCACACTTGGAAGAGCGGATTGATGGGAGGTCTCCGAGGGGATGGGATGCCCACAGCCTTTGCTTGGGCTTGATATTTGTCACACTGGGGTATCTGTTATGAGGCGAACCCGGAGAGAGGCGGGGTTCTCCGGATTGATTACAATATGCGAAGTCTGGTTGATTATTAAGATTACAATATGCAAAGTTTGGAAAGGATGTGCCACTTATTGTGTCAAGTACGCACAGAAAGTCGGCACGACAAAGACACAATTGTGGGATAAGCATACTTTATGATGGGGTCAATAAATGGGAAACGGATAGTTTAAAGAGAGGTCAATTGCTTTTCATATAAGTGAGATAAACAATTAATGACGTTATCAAATACTATTTAATGAAGACAAACAATTGCATTTATGATCACTATTTAATAGCTTATCAATTCGCTAACATGCGACAACTGTAATTGAACGACACATGAAAATAATAAATTGTTCACAATTATCGTACGTCCCTCCTTCCCAATTGAAAAGGTGCCCTGATTCCATCGCTCGAAAAGGCACGATTTTCCATAACAAAGATTCCTTTTAACCTACAAGTACATGATGAATTTTCCTGAAACTTTTTTTTTCAAGTTACAGTTTAGAAAACCATGCGTTTAATTTTTCTGAAAATTTGTTCGTTTGTAGAAAATTGAATTCTCTATCCAACGTACTACTTGGCATTGCCCAATGGAATTTCTGTTCCGGTACTTTTTCCATTTCAATTGCTCGCAAGAGCTATATTTTGCATTCCGAAGCATCATTTTAGGCTTGCAATTGTCGCTAGGGCATTTGTCGGTCACCCCTCTAGCGCATCTGCATTCAGACTTCACCGACGAGCGATAATCGCTTGTACAGCCGAAACTCATTTGTACACAAACAGTTTGACAAGTGCGAACAGAGTTACAGTTTGTCAAGTGACGGAATTCGGATTTTCATTTCATGTGTTCAGAAATGTGGATTTCTTACACACTGAACAGGAATGAACCTGGGCAATTTATATATTTTGTAGCGTAGATCCAAGAGAATCCAAGAATGTGATAGATTTACTAGCAATGAAGATATGTTCGAGATTTTCGATATCGCTTTATGTGCAAAAATTCAACAAATAATTTAAATTGCTACCCACCCGACAGCAAAAATTTACGATTATGATACATACCATCTTGTAGCCGTGACTAAGAACTATCAGAATATGTTTTAAACAATTAATAAGCTACGGAAGTTATGCCGCTTGATGTGATCAATGATGTTCGGTAGTCACAATTGGCATGTAAACTGAATTAATCGAAATTCCCTCTGTTGTGCATATAAAAATAAGGAGGAATCAACGAAAATTAAACGTATTTATACACATCATAAAAAATGAAATAATACGTAACAGATTGAATTATCAATCGCGCGAAGGAATGAATGAAACAGTAAGTTAACAAGCAGATATTTAATTGTATCAGGGGTGAGTACTGTACGAGACGAAATCAATGAACAATTAATGAATAACAAACAATGCGGAATATAGATGTAAATAATGAATAGATAAATTAACAGGGATATTGAAAAAAATTTTATTTTTTTTTACCATGAAGACTGAGAGAATGATGATAACGACGATTATGATGATTAGGATTTTAAAGTGTGGAATTTTCGATGATTATTTTGCGGACGTTTTCGCATGAAGAAGATATATGCCGCCAAAAAACCAATCAGAGCACCGTAAATTACGTCTGAAGGAAAATGCCACATATCCGTAATGCGTGTCACCAAACAATAACCATTCCTGCAAAAAATTATATCGTCAACAAAACCACACATTTCATTCATATTTCCAAAACGACGACTCCAACGGAATTCTGGTTCAGCGTATTTACTGTCGATGAAAAGTTTTGCGAACTGCAAAAGATTTTTGAAAGTTCAAATAAAAAACAATATTGATATTTTCTGCAAGAATTCTTCTCCATTTGTTTCACATGAAAGGAACTTTTTTTTCAGTTGAAAGTATCACTCAAAGTTTTCGTCAAATATTTTTCATCCAAGAGAACAACACAAAATAAAGGAGCGATCGAATGTTGAGGGTAAAACTTGAATGAATTCGAAAAAGAAATTTTAGTAATTCTCAATATTGACCATAATATTGATGCCTCACATACCATAAATAGAAGGTGATGAGAACAATATACTGAATCATTTTCATGGTACCGTTAAACGCAGATTTCGGTAGAATCTTATCGAAATACGATATCAGAAAACACATCGCTAACACTGACGCTGTTGCATGCCCACTTGGACAGCTGTCCGATAATAATAACAATAATATTAATCATAATCTCTTCAACATTCCCCATCATGATACTAGGTATTCCATTCATTATTGACGACAGAATTTTACCAAACGTAACGAATGGAAATCATTTAGAATTTCCATTCACAGAAATTTTTGGGAAAGCAGATGAATGAAACGGAAAAATCGAGAAATTAGAATGAAAACTGAAAAAAGCGGACGAGAATTCAATCCTTTCAAAAAGGAAAAAAAGAAAACGAAGATAAGAATACTGATGAAACAAAGATTTTTAAAAAATTTCGCTAACCTAGTACGCGCTTTCTTGATCGCTTTTGGAGAGCCACGACAGAATGCATTCGTGATCAATCGATACGGATCAGAGGTACAATCAATTTTATCCCATCTTGGATCGCAAACTGCCAGAAAATTCGGACGTAAACGTCCAATGGCACACTTACATAACTGATTTACAATTACGGCTAACAAAAAGCCTTAAAATTTGATTTGCATTATTTCACTTTTCAGTTCATGATTCTCATTCATTCATCCAACAATCACATTTTAAAACAATTTATTACTCATTTTTGAACAACTTTCCAAACTATTTTCATTTGAAATTCACAATTCCACAAACTCGAAATATTGTTTTCATTTGGATATAAGAATTCTACTCAAATTCAAATCCCTCTTCAAAAATCGCCACAAATAGAACCCCTCTCGTTCCACCTCGATTCCGGAAAAGCTTTAGTGTGCGATTCACGAAGAATGTAAACATCTCAGTTAATCTGTTTTCGAAGAAATGCAGTTAATACAAATAATACTGATGGACAACAGTAACAATAAACAATAACATTAAACAACTGACAAAAAATATAATCGATGTAAAGTGAGACGACTGATGCTGAAAAACGTTGAATACGACGTGTTGAAGGCGGTGTTAAGTGTAAGAATATTATTGATTCACATAAAAATACCACCAAAAATGGTAAAAGTAATGTGGCACATAACAGATGCGTTTGAGAAACCGAATTTGGTAATACTGAAAAACAGCACTTAACCACATTCTGAATCAAAACAAAACCGAACAACAACAAAACAGCACTGCACCACTTTATGCACTAAACCAGAGCACTTTATGCATGATCTCTTCATTATCATTACTACTGTAACGCAATCGTTATGATGGTGAGGCAATAATGCATAAAATTGAAATCAATTAAAATTAACAATGAATGCTTCTGTAAGGAAAAGTGCACACTTACACGGACTACTAAGCTCTTGAATTTCATGACAATAGAATCCTCTTTCCACCGGAAAAACCAAAGATTTTGTGATCACTTTATAAATTACATAAGAGGCTGCAAGTTCGTTCGTTCACTTTCAAACGTTGATTCTTTTTTCTGGAGACTTGTTTTTGAAATGTTCAAATTCTTATTTCTATTCAGGAACGAAGAGAAACGAAACGAATGAATAAGAGGCAGGTAGGTACCAATCAATGAGATGCATATATCGATACCCATTAAAATGGTACAACGAATTAAAATCGATCGTTCATTGAGCTGATTATCAGCTGATGATGATGACGCCGAAGATGTCGATGGCACTAAATCGCGACGAGCATAACGCGAAGTCAATGAGTACTTGCCGAGCATAGAGAACTCAGGCGACCTGGAATCAATTTCAGGACAAACCTAGTACCCATGACACTTAAACATAAGACTACCCTATGACAATAAAAGTGAACAAAAACAGTGATGACGATGACAAAATCAACTGATATTTAGTTTAGTGAGAGGAAACTGTGCACAGTTTATGGATAAACGAATACGAGTGAATAAATGATGTATCCGCGTACATACAAAGCGTGCGAACGAGCGATTATGTTGAGCCGAGAGGAAAAGTTCACCGACAACGCGGCGGTCACCACGTGCCCGGGGGGTGACTCGAACGACTTTGAAGGTTAACAACGGCCTCATCACAAGACGGGTTTTATCTTGGAGAGATAGCGCGAATGCACAGCACTGATGATCATCATCGAAGACACACACACACACATCTCCGTCAATCTACCCATTTCTATATCGCAAACCTAGCAATGTGCCTGCTTGACTTTCACAGTCGCTCGAGGTAGACCATAAGCTTAAGTTTACATATATACTACGCGTACGCCACAGTCGTCCAGATTCGAGTGTGAACGATAAGAACGAGCTTACAGGATATGTTTTGTAGACTATGCATGTAAGAGTCATTAATTCAATTCTGAATACGTATAAATATATTCTGAAGCGATAGACGCCGAAAAGAACTTTTCAAACTGAGCATACAATCACATATGCACAAACACACACACACACGCACATACATACTACAACGTTCGTATCGCTTTGTTCGTTCATTCGATCAAAATCATTTGGCGTTGCATAAGCCAAGCAACAATTATTTGCTCTATCGTTATCATCCATCTGCACCGTCTTGATGATTTCGTTATATTTATTCAGTAATATTAACAACTGTTCTAAATTTAATTATGATAATTCCAATAACAGTAATGATAAGTCAACAATTAACAATAGCAATAATAATTGTAACAATGATGAGAACTGTCTTTATTATATTGATATTAGGGTATGTCAGAATAATATTTAATATCAAATTTTGATAAGTTTTTGATCTGGTGATACTGATCAATACGAATATTTTTTGAAAGGCGCCAAAAAGTCAGCTACTGAGGCAAGATGAAAGAAATACCACCCACATTGTTGACTTTTTTGTGTATGTTAATAAAATAGATTCCAGACCAAATTGAATTTCGTCTGGTTTTATTTTAGTCGGTATTTTCGTTTTTTCTTTAAATTTACTCTTGTCTTTTTGATTCTTCGTTTCTGAAGAAGCGTTCCTTTCAATAAAATAACGTAGAAATCGTCTGTAACATTCAGCGATATTTTGCCTGCTTCAGGATTCCTCAGATTCCGGAAATTCGTGCCACTGGGTGAGTGAGGTTGCGAGTGGTCTGGTGCTTCCAATTCCGGTGTCGAGTTTCGTTTTTTTGTGTGTCTGAAGGGAATCATTTTCGTGTTTTTACTGGCTACCTGCTGCTGCTTCATCGGCTGAAGCATGATGAGTTCCGAAAGAGTGATGCCAAGATTCAGTAAAATTTTTTTATTTGAATTTTGGATTGTAAAATCTTTTTCTCTTTTTTTTTCATTCAGTTTTATATTCATCTATTAAATTTCAGTCAAAAAGAGTTATTATGATCGTTTGATTAAATCATTTATGCACACATTTGTTGCTTGATTCAATCGTTTTTGAAAATGCAAAAATTTCATGGTGTATTTCGCTTATTGTTTGTTTTTCAGCTTTCCGATCTTCAACTAGGAATCAGAGCTTTGCTCGCAAGAGGTTCTCATCTTCACGTTCTCGTTATCCGCCTTCCTCAAATTCCACTTACCGAACGAGGTTATTCGAAGTTTAAATTGTGATCCTAATTATAAACATCAACCAACAGTAGCAATAATAACAATCAGAAACACAGTACTATTAATAGAAATTATGAAGAGTATATGGTAACAATAAACAGAAAATGAATAAAGTAGTAGTACACAAATGTTGTCATCAGTGGGTTATGAGAAGAACTGCATAAAAGAGTGATAATATTTTAAGAGGACGTGATGGTAGTTTAGTGGTGCTCAAAAAGGCCAGGTACTCTCCGGAAATACCAATTCGAAAACGAAAGCGACGTGCCGCCGCAACGAATAGTCCAAATTCACAGCAATTTATCACCGATGAGGAACATCATCAAAAAGGTATTTGATTTTAATTTGTTTTTCTTGAATATCATTCGAATATATTCATAATTAATGATTTATCATTAATGATAGTAATGTTTAAACCTTTTCGTTGCTAATATATTATATTATTGTTTTTATTGTAACATTTATTAAACTACTATCAATATTATTATTATCATTTTTATTGTTGTTGTTTAAAGAATAATTTAAGATTTAGATGAAAGCTCCGATGAAGATTCGCTTGCTTTGACGCGGCGCCGTATGGCGTTCACTGATGAATCGATCCTCAATCAGACTGCGGGCGAATCTTCAGCAGAAGATAGCAATGTTAGAAATATATTATCATTATTGTTGTCGTTTTTATTATCGTTGTTTTGATCAGTACTGTTATCACAGCTGCAGCGATTATAATTACGTTGGTTCGTTATTATTTCAGGAGGAAATGGAATCGGAAAAGAGCGAAGATTTGAGCAATGAGCCACAGAAATATGAAGAAACCGATTATGAACGACAATTTAAACGTGATTCTTCGTAATATTAATAATAATAACGATAACTGCTTGTGACAGTTAAATTACAAATTCGATCTCGTAAAAGTTTTTTATAATAACTACTAAGCTCGATAAGTTTCTATCTGGAAGAAGTAAAAAGGAGAAAATGATTTGTTGAAAACAACTCTTCGCGTTTGCATAAAATTGTCTCAGCTTCATCCGTAATTTTTAGCAAAAATATTCGCATTCTCTAATTACCTCGTATGAGTAACCTGAAGGCAGCACAACATACGACATTGTGTTATCGTTTCAATAGGATTCCAAGTTCAGACTCAGGTTTATTGTTGGGCGTGTGTTTAGGCTCGTGCTTAAGCTCAGGCTTATCCGGGGATTACAGTTGACATGTTTGTTGCTGGGAGAGGTGCTTTGAAATTAAGATGTTTAAAAAATTGCATAAGAAAAGTGGCTATTATTGAAATGTGTAAATAATTGCTTGAATCGAAAGTTTTTGAATGTTGTTCGTTTGTTTGTAAAAATTTCAACTGCATATAATATTCTTCTCATTTGAAGGTGCAATTCGTCTATATCGTTATATGGCTCTACCGGATGGAAGCAATTATCAGCGACCAGTCTATAGACCATTCTTGAAACGCAATTTATCATATATGAGACGAAGTGCTATCTCCTCAACGGTTTGTTACTTTCATTATTGTTCTTGTGAACTCGATTTTATGCAACCCTAGCCTGCTTTGATAAAAATACGAAGTGGCACAAGCACAGAGGGAAGATTGGCTTCTGTGAGCAGTGTGGAAGTTGTTGTGATTGGATTAGGCCTTGTTTGCTCATATCTGGTGCTGCTGGTCGACCGTCATTGATTAAGCCTACTCTAGGATGTTACGAGTGATGTGTTCGGTCAACTTTATCCGCTCACTTCCTTTCAAACAAAACATTGATATTGACGAGTGAAATGTAATCTAACGACCTCGATGCCGTTTGCGATTCATTCAAGTCATGATAAAACTTGTATGAAGATTGACTGCATGCAATGCGTATATATTCAAGTTACAGTCAGTTGTGAATGGCAATGGTGGAGATGCAACAAGCAGAAGTACAAGTGAAGATGGCCGAGGAGAGAACGTCGTGTTCCGAAAGAAAGCATCTTCTTCATCACATCATCGTTCGGTTGATGGTGGTGGTGCGTCATCGTCGATTCGTTCACGTTTAAAGACAACTGCCACAGCTTCACATTTGCGATCCATAGAGCAAAAACGTGCAAATATCAAATCGGTTTTGAGTAGTCTGCATAAGAAAGTGGTGGTGGTAAGTAGTTGTTTTTAGTTCATTCGTTTATTTGATTCATTTCATTTATTCAGTTTTATTTCATGAGTGATCATAAATAACATTGTATTATTGTTGTAAATGTAATATAACAAAAAAAAACTCTATTTTGTTCTATTCACCAGAAATTTGTATTGTGGATACACGTAACATTCACTTACATGACGTGAATCTAGATGATTGGCCGGAGGAAATGAACTCAACGCCACAAAATTTTCATTCATTGATTTGATGATTAAAATTTTTTGTTGTTCATTTCCCATTTGTCTTTGTCGAGTTCATTGGTATATTTGCAATCTGAATAGAGTTTCGATTTAAAGGATTCCCGGAATGTGGCAACGTCATCATATGGCTCTTCATCAGCATCACCATCCAAGAAAGAAGATTGTCATAAAAATGAAATGGTTATGATGAAGCGATGCAGTAGCAGCAGTAATGCTGTCGCTGCGAGCACGGCATCGTCGCCAGTGAAAGGCGATCAGTTGAATACAACACCCCCCATCAAAGCGGCCAGTAGCACTTCGATGAAACAACAACAAACCTGCTCGGATCCTACAACGATCGCACACGACACGTTCGATTTCGAGAAGCAGTTCAACAATAGCAGTAAACATGCAAATTGTTCACATTCCAATACATCGCTGTTACGTTTCGTTGATGTTCGAAATAATGACTTACCCGGTAAATTAGAGTTTGTTTGTTTGATTTTTGCAGTTGTTGTTTTGCAATCAGATCACATGTTTGTTTCACAAATGATTCCCTGTGGAGGTTTTTTTGCATTTCTGTAAACCTTACATTGTTTTGAAGCATTCGTTTATTTCGTAATCATTTATTGTTGTTCAGGAACTCGTCATGCGATGATAACGGTTTATTTGTGTAGTGAAGTGGATGGAAAGTTCGATGAAATTGTAATTTTGATTTTTTAAAATCATTGATATTCAGTAATGTTTTGTTGATTGAAACGTTATTGAAAGTGGGTGAAGTGAAGAAGAAGAAAGAAACAACTCAAAACTTGAATGAAGAAATTGCCACAAATTTTTTACTTTTAACGTAGAGTTTGAAGATTTGAAAATCGACAAAAATTCTGAGTGATTGGTGGTGCAATTCGACGTAAAAGTGTGCTCGTAAATATTTGCAATAGAATTGAATGATGTTCATTTGAAGATACGTGTACCATCGGCAACCGTGCAAATGCCAGTGAATAATCGCAGTACGCCGGTTAATATCGACTTGCCGCATGGCTTGGGTTGTCCTCTTGATTTCACTGGAAAAGAAAGGTTTTATCTTGGATTTCACGATAAGAATATCTATTATTATTTTTATTGTTATTGTTATTTATTTCAGAAATGATTATGTGATAATTCGAGTAACGTTTTCCGATGAGGAAGATGCGCGTGTGTTCGGCGGTAGAACCTTACGCGGCGTTCCATCAAGACAAGCAAGTAAAGCTGAAGTTAAGGTGATTTATTATTGTATGTAACAAGTATAAATATAATAATAATTAATAAAGACAACGCGTCGAAGTTCGGCAGCCGCTGAGAGTGCACAGTCGAAGAAACGAAATAGCGGAAGCGAGGAGTCGACATCGGCAGTTTATGGAGCGCGTTGTATTTGTTCGTTGGGTAATACGAAACATTCTTCGGGAATTATTTATGGCGATGGTAGTATCAACCTTGTGTTCGTTTTTATGTTTATTCATTTGTATTTATTGTTTTTGGTGTTATTACTTGCCATTGCTATTAGTATTATTGTTATTGTTGTTGGTATTGAAGTCATAAATAGACGGTGGTTTGTCTTACAGACCCGAAGCAATGTTAGGTATAACAGAAAATTGGCGACGAGATGGTTCATTGGCGAAAAAAATAGTCGACCTTGGCAAGGTGAGTGAAGTGAATGATGTGTTTTTGGTCGAGAATATACTTATTCATATTTGCAGATATGTTCATTTGTTATTGCTATTTGTAGAGAGATAATGTTATTGTTGATTACAGAAGGTGCATGAGAGTCCATTTGTGCATATGTCAATCATGCAAGATTGTGGTGCTGAGACGAGTTCATCGGAAGAGGACGATGACGATGATGATGAGGAGGACGACGAGACGAAAACTTATTCAAGTCGGTCATTCAGCGACGGGTTTTTTTCATTTTCCGACTCGAAAAATTCCTTTTAATTCTTTTGGTAGAAGAATTAAAAATTTATTTTCGAAGATTTTCCTTCCCCAAACAAGAAAAAATTATTTTTATTTTTCAACAACTATTTATACACAGTTTTTTGTGCTGTTGAATACAACTAAATTTCGGCAGATAAACAAAGTTGTGATAAGTCTCAAACAATTGCATTATGTTGTGTTTTGCTTTGCTGTCGAAAACGAAATTGATTTTTTGTTGTTGTGAATGGATTCGTTTTTTGCAAATAGCGAATAAATTGAATCGGTCGAATAATCAGTTAAGAAAACCATTCAAAGAAACAACTAAAAATATGTTATGAACAGTAAAATATCAATAAATATTGAACGAACGTTAAAGTTACAGGTGATGATGAATCGACATCGTGCATTACAGCAAATGCAACGACAAGTAAACAAATAGCACTGGATAAGTCGAAGAGTCGTTCCTATTTACAAAAGCTTCGTCGTTTCGGTAATGGAAGTGTGGGTGCAGGTGGAGGGCACCTGAGCAGTTCGGATAATAATAGTACTACTAGTAATAATCACAATCATGCTCATAATAATAATGATAGTAGTTATCGTGATCTGTTCACGCCTCATCCGTCAGTCAAAAACGCTCTTTCAGCAGCAGCAAATGGTGGTCAAGATACGGTAGATTTTCATTTTTATCTTCTGAAATTATTGTTTTTATGGTTGTCGTTTTGATTTTGGTGATAATGTGTGTTATTTTTGATGGTTAGATTGGAACTGGATGTGTTTGAAATTGTATATACTGCTTGTTGATAGGTGAGTAGGTTGGCTGATTAAGATAGTGGATTGAAAGAAAAGAGACGATTGATAGATGTTTTTTGTTAGTGTTGTTACTTTTGCAGACTTTCGATGATTATATGAGAGCACGATCAAAACACGAAATGTCGTTACAGTTCCCGAAACAAATATGGTAAGTGAATGTAGAGGCGAGTAGAGGCTTATTTTGAACATTTTTCATTTGATGCACCATCACTTTTCTCGTGCATTTTCGCATATTTCTTGATAACTTGAAATTTCTTCTAATGAAACCAGTTTCTTGATGAACTTTCTGATCTGACTCTGAATGCATTGCACAACACTAATAAGAATGTTTCAGTTATCGTTTCGTAATGATGTATAACGATCAACCGAACACGACGTTTCCTGAAAATAAGTTGCGATTCGTTCCCGACGATCCACCTTACCTAAATGCTTTCGTCAATAATTCATCAGAAGATAATTCTTGTTCTAACGCGACCGTTGCCGATAATATTAATAGTAACAGCAATAGCAGTAACAGTAATAATTCTTCCATGCAGACCGATAAAACCTACTCATCATCAAAAAACATGTCAGTAATGAGCACACATTATATGAGCATTAGCTCAGGCAACGGTAATAATAATGACAGCCGGAATACCATGAATAGTGTACAATCGTCATGTAGAATATCCTCTGATCGACAGTTGTGCAGAAGTAAGTGTTTGAATATTGTTGTGAAAAGGAATTAGTTGATTGTTGACGTGTGTTCGTTGTTTGTTTAGATGCTATCAGATTTTATTTTATTTCATTACATTGGATCATTCGATGACTTCAAGCAGAATTTTCGTGAACGAATTAAAAACCTGAAACGATGAACAGAACTCAAAAAATATGGCAATCACATTAAACGATAATAATGAAATGCAGTTACAGGAGCAAACGCATCAGCAGCAGCAACAACAACACAACCAGTACAACTGGCGTCTTTCGTGCTTCCCCTCAAAGAGGTTTCATCATCGGACTATTTGAATCGACATGAACGTGAGAAGAGTATCAATGCTGCCAAGTCATCAGTGAAAGCTACGGTCACCAGCAATCCTGTTGTGCTGTTGACCCCATTGACACCCCCTTTGAACCTCAGTTCTCCGACTGGCAAAACGTTGAACTCAATCCATTCTTCACCCGATTCACATACGGTGAAAACTCGTCGAAATACACCGACAGCTTGGGGCAGTTCTCCTCTTCAAAGATGCACTAGTAATAGTAATATTCATTATAATAGTAGTAACGATAATAATAATCTTCATCAAACAACAGCAGCCACAAAATTACCAGTAAATATTCATACGAAATCGACTGTAACTTCATCTGCTGCAAATCGAACAGCTTATTCAGGCCAGCAGTCGAAGCATAATCAATCGTATCCTCATAATTATAATCATAATCATCAAACAGTATTGCTCAATGCTGTTGATCATCTACACCAACAACCATCAACTAATCTGTCACACGTTGGTGAAAAAGTGAAATTGGACATACCCAGACGTGACTCACCACTTCCTGATGTTATTGATGCTTATGCGGAGCATTTTGAACGATGTTCAACTGTTAGTGGTGCCGCTGCAGGTGTTGGTTATGAGCGTGTTACTGGAACTTGTAATGATAGTGATATGATTATTGCAAACACGACGACAACAACAACAAGCTCAACACCAAATAATGATAACGTCAGCAGTTTTTGTTCGTTCGTTTATTCTTTGCTGTTGTGTTTAGCTGGTGCAGGATGATAAGAGTACTTAATGCGACGACGTATTGATTCATCGTAAATTTTAGACGCAATCAGCAGCAAATTCGGTAACGACCACGATGCAACGTCAAGAAAAGCAACAACTCAGAGACGGGGGTTTCTCCGAGAGAATATCATCAGATGGTCAAGGTGTAATCACGCGATTACTTTCACCGTCCAATAAATGTCTGTTTTGTTTGGGCACCTTCCCGGATATGTTCGCGTTGCTGATGCATCTACGAACTTCATATCCTCGACTTGATATTGTCTATCGCGTTCGTTCTTTTTTCTTTTAGTCATTCAATGAATTAGTCAGTTATTTGTTGAAGTTTCTTATCCGTACAGAAGAAAATTTTTCTCTAAGCACTGAAAAAAGAAATAGAAATTAATCATCATCAGTCACAATTGGATAGGACTCGTTTTTTCGAGGACAACGATTTTCAATCTGAAACAATAAAATCACGAAAAATTCTACCGTGTGCCCGCTCGGTGAAGGATTGCTACCAAATGTTCGTGAGATATTTAGTTGGTGTTTATTGTTCGAACAGAGAAATAAGAATTGAGCGAGAACCTCTTCCACATGAAACTAGAAAATCACCAATTGCCAACTAATGAGTGTCGTTTGACAGTTTATTGTTTTATTGAAGGGTGATATACGATTATCAGCTGCAGCCAATAGCAGTGCACCAGTTTATATTGATGTTTTTCTTCGTGAACATTTTGACGGATCGTTTGAGGGTAATCTACTTCGACAGTATGTGGGTTGTTGTCGCAATCGTATCATTCCACAACGTTGCCAACCAACTGATCGACTCACTTACATTGTTTACAAGTTTGTTTACTTCTTTGTTTATTTACTTGTTCACTTGTTTACTTCGTTGATAATTTGTTGATTTTGATTCTAATTCATTTCAGAACTGAAGCAAGATTTATTCGACATATGCCTAAAGATTTGAGTATATTTTTCACACAATCCGATCGTGAGAAACGAGCGCTACGTGGTAATAATGCGTAAGTTTTTCTTTTATTTGTTTTCATTCGTTATTTTTGTTCGATTTATTATTATTATTATAATGAAGTATTTTATCAAGAACGATAAAGTTTATTCGATTTGTGATATGATGTACGAAATTTGTAATTTAATTTAAATTTGAGGGCATATTTCGGTTTCCGAAGTCGTCATCCGTTAATGAGTTCATCACAAGTTCAAGCGAAGCAATTAGATCAAGAATGGATGAGACAAATGATAAACAGGGTTTGCATTTATCAGCTTTTGTTTTTCTCTTTCTCAATTCATTTTGACGAATAAATCAACGAATTTTTTGCAATAATCAATGAAGATGTTGTCAAAATATCAACTTTTTTGATGTCTTCCAAGTCGAAAAGTATTATTCGCAAAATTTTTGAAAACTTTGTCGCTGAAAAATATTTGAAACGTTGGCCAATATTTGGAAATATTGTTTTTGTTTTTCTTTCAGCAAATCGAAGATTTTGTGGATTTATCGAGACCAGAGAAAGAATTTATGAAGTTATGGAATCTTTTCATTCTAAATCCTAACAATCGTCCATTCGGCTGGTGTCACATGTATCGTACATGTGTTAGTTGTGGATTTTCTTTTTGTATTTTCTTTTGTTTTGGTTTGAGAATTTTTCGGAAAAATCTTTCTGTCGTTCTTCCCAAAAGCAAAAATTGATATGAAACGAATTTTGATGATAAGGATGAACTTCAATGGTATTGTTTGAAGAAAGTTGAGCAGAAGAAAGTAATCATTTGTTGTGAGCAAATAAATATCTGTTTATTGTAAATACTGATGATGATCGTATCGCAAACGTTTCATCAACGAATTTATGATAACGCAGATATTTAATGAAATAGATTAGAGTGATTTATTAGTTGTTTTAACGTTTTTGTTTTTAAGCGTTTGTTTTTGGACGAACATCGTGACGAGTTGTTGAAGAAGGGTTTGCGTGGTGCGTGGATGTACCATTTGGCAGCGTTCAATGAAACAGACGCGCTGGATACCGAGGAAACGTACGATTTGACACAACGTTTGAATGCCGATTATGATCCGACACGTGATAAATGCCATATTGTTTCGAGGTGAGTTATTTATGTGCTCATTTGAATTAATCAGTGAGTGGGATTGACTTGATCAGAAAAATATTATTTTCAAGACGAACCGCGGCACGGGCGGCAACTGTATGCGATGGCGCTGATCCATCACCATCAGTATCGTCATCGTGTTCATCGATGCCGTCCACAAACCAACAACTGCTTGCTGCAGCGGCAATGAAGCGTAAACCACCCGCTTGGCAGAGAGCGCCTATTCCCGGACCGAAATCGTCGATCCTTCGAAGTGCTTCGGCCACTTCACGCCTTTCTTCAGCCGGTGGACAGAGCTCAGATAATGAAGTATGTTTATTTGTTTATTCATTTTGTGTGCTTATTTTTGAACTTTATTTGTTGACTTATTTAGTCATTTTACGTATTCATTCATTTCGTCGTTCGTTCGTATATTAATTTATTGAAAGATAACCGATATAATAATCCATCTTGTGACATCACCGCTGATGTTATTGAAAAATGATGTTTTTAATCATATGTTTTCAAATCTTTACCCTTCGAAACATTTACCTGCTGGTTTGTTCTTTCGTTCTTCTTTGTACATTTGCATTCAATACACTTAATGAGTTTGTTTGCTTATTGCATTTTGTTGTTGTTGCCACTTCATTTAGATTTTTCGTTTTTCATTCGCAAAATTTTGACGTGTTTTTGATTTGTGGATGAATATATTTCAGGAGATTTTCAAGAAGTTTCACGACGAAACATCGATGGGTCGTGACGAACGACGTTGTAGTAGTTGCTCAACGGACGATGTAACGAATAGGGTAGGTTGCAGAGATTAGCGTTGAAGGGGAGATAGGAGGCGAAAGAAGGAGATAGTATTCGCTGAATTTACTTTTTTGACTTTCACTGAGGAGAGATGAAAGTTTGAGATGGAAATGAAGCAGTAATGATCTTTTTGCGTTGATTAATGTTATTGCGTAGGCAACCGTCTGTGGACGTTGGTCGTAAGCATGATGTGACAGATGTGTTTCAGTTGATTTTGTTGAGCACAAAGCGTAAACTTGAACTCGGAATTTGATACGTATGTGACTAATAAATATCCGACGAGTTTTGCAGTTGCGTCTTTCATCGTTCGCATTTTCAGTACAATCCAGTTGTGAGACGAAATCGTGAAGGGGATTTAGCGAAATTCGTGCAAAAAACAATGCGCATTGGGCCCGATCAGTCAATGCTAGCCGCTTCATCAAAGTGGCTGTTAGCATCTGAAGAGGATATTTTGACGAGTTGAGTTGAGTTGATGCTTTTCTGACTGCGGAAATAATCTAACGGACAAAGAATGTTTTTATTATTCATTCATGAAGTATGTATATGAATTGAATTGTTTTATCTCACACATCGATGATGCTCAGTTTATTCATCAAGTTCTTTTTGTTTATTTATTTCATCAGATTGTTTTTTTTAGAATTGAGACTCTAGTGTTGGATTGATTAAGATCGTTATTATGGTTATTATTATTATTATTATTATTATTATTATTATTATTATTATTATCATGTTTATCATTATTGTTGTCCCGATATTATTGTTGTTATTGTTATGTTATCACAGTCGAGGCTTTTTTAAAATCATTATAACGATTATGTCACATTAATTATTATCATATTATTGTTATTATCATTATTCTTGTTATTATTACAGCTAATTTGCTGCCCATTTTAGACGAGTTTCTGTTAACTGTATCAGTCCGATTGGTTGTTCCTTTTTAATTATTCAATGATTTCCTCATTTTTGAAATAGCAACTAATTAAACTCGAATTGAAAATTTTCAGTGAATTATTATTGTCGACAAATTATTATCGTTTTGATTATCAGTGATTTTTTGCTATGGAAGAAAAAAAATTTATATACGAAATAAATTTCAACAATCCGTCGAAATGGTGATCTGTAAACGTTTCAAGTAGTGTTCATCGGGAAGCAACTTTTTGGCTGAGAGGGGACCCAGTCTGAGGGGAACGAAGTTGACGGGCAAGGATCCTGACCAACAATTCGAGGAGCAAAATTGTTGGGGAATGGGATGTTTATCGAAGACGACGAGCACTAGTACCTAGGTTGTATGTTTTTAGCATGTTCTGCTCGTCAAGTTCAAAGGCTTAGGCTTACTCGTCGTCAAATTTAAGTTGAATACGTTTCCTTATATGGTGAACTAAATTATGTGCAAATTCATTGATTGTTACACTCACTCATAGGGCGTTTACAGATTACCTCATTCAAAACGTTAAATTTCAAATTTTCATGAAATGAATACATTTGTTTGTTATTTTCCATTTCATCTTCCTCTTTTCTCCTTCTCTCTTCTGCAACGTACCTCTTCGTTATTTATTAATTTGTTTATGTATTTCTTCATTTTAATTTCTGCGAAGAAAAAACCTTTTTCAAACACTTTTCTCGCCGTTTTATTGTTCCTCTTATTATTATTATTATCATTATTATTTATTTCTTTATTTATTATTAATTTTCAAAAAGTCTCCTCCCCGTGTTAATCAATGTTACTGTTTTCTAAGGCTTCTTTTGTTACGTTTCGTTTCAATAGCTTCAAAAATAAGCGAGCAAATCGAATGAAACCTATTGCAATTTCACACACATAATTGCCAGCATCGCGTTATCGTTATCATTAACCTTTCATTATTATCACAAATATTATCAGCTGCCCCAATAACAGGTCATTATTGTCTTTCCTTGATTATCTTCATACGTACGTACGTTTATATATGTATATGTGTGTGAATTTATTATGTTTATGAGGTTATTTATTCGTTTATTTATATTGTTTTATTATTTCCGAACTTGAACTTTATTCATATTTCTCATTGCTTTGTTGTTGTTGTTATTATTGTTGTTGTTGTTGTTATTATTTCTGTTTTTCTTTCTTATCTCTCTTAACGTCTCCCTCTGTCGCATTATCATGATCATGTTAATTGTTTCCCAATTATAGAAAGGCAAAAAATGTTTTGACGCCAAATACTCAAAAATGAAAAAATCCATCGCCAGCAGCCTCGTAAATTTACAAGATTTTCAAATACGCGGCGATGTTCAATTTCCTTTTCAACATCTTCGAATTACTTGATTATATTTTTATGCATTCATTTGTTTATTTATTTATTTAAGCATGTTTTCATATTTTACCTAATGCGTTCGTTCAGCTGTACCATTTACAATCATCTAATTTTGTTATCCAGCAATCGTTTATCATTTCATGTTGTATCGAATTTTATTTCTCATTTCTTTATTTCATTCATTTTACGACGATATTACCTCAAATTTTAGAAATTTTCTTTTACTAATTCGTTTGAATGAAATCAAAATGGTTCAATAATCACTAATTTGTTCAATCATTTAAATCGTTTTTCATTGCTTGATTGATGTGGTGGAGTTTTGTTTGCATTGTGTATGCGATTTGACAAAATGCTATGAGATAATATCTCTGAATTTTGTCGGTTTTCTTTTTGTGTTTAATTTTTATCACTTGTTTATTTTAATCGTGTTTTTTCGTCTCTTATGGATTAGAGTGTATTTTTTCGTCAACTGTTTAACTCAATTTTAGAGTTTCTTCTATTTCATCCGTCCTGACCCCAACCAACCTTCACTCTCGCTCCCTCTTTATTCCTCTTCACTCCTGATACGGTTGTTGTCTGATAAAACTGCTTATGCGACCCTTCGATAATACATCAATCAGTTTGGATAATGCAAATGTTGCATTAGCACTGGCCAATCCTTTTATTGTGTTCCTCTGTTCGATTTTTTTTTTCATTCTTCATTTGTTTTGTTTTTTTTTTGAATCCTTTAATTATTTACTGTATTATTGTTTTGATGGCGATCTCTTCTTGTATTGTACTGGGTTCGGATTTAATGAAGTTTGATTTGATTTGATGTCATCATTGATTCACTTTTATTGATTTGATTTTTCAGCTGATTTTCGCCATAAAATGATAACGGTGATGGTAGTGATAATGATAACGATACTGATAATAATCAACTAGACGATTCACTTTAGAGGTGTACGTGTCTTTTGAGTTAGTTACTTGAAGAAATAAGATGGAAGAAAAACAAGTGACAAATTTTCGTTTTTTTCTAAATCCGTATTTATTCATTCATCAGTTTTTTTTTTCGTTGTTTCACATTAAAATCGGGGAGAAAGGAGACGTTTGATTGTACTGAAATGTAATCGTTGTTGTTGTTTGGTATTATTTTGCTTTTATTTTGTAATTTGTTCAGTTTTGTCGTTCATTAATACGTTCATATGCTCATAAATTCATTTATGTCACTAGTGCAAAATGCTGATGAAATTTTCACACAAATTGCTTTTAACGTTTTCAAAGAGAGCGGAATTCATGAAGGTTTTTTTCGTACTAACTGAGATTTTTTTTAACTTATGAAAGTAAATACGGGTTAGTAAAGGGCACAATGCCGAAATGGACAGAGGTACCTGTTGGGACCACCCATGAGCTCCTTAATTGGTCACAAAAGGTTTCATACATCGGGAGACTCACCGCCCACCCATTTCGACCGAATTTTGCGTGTGTCCAAAGTTCAATATATTTTGTGAATTAAAAGAAGAGATGAGGCTTATAAGATCTCGTATATGTTCGCAATCCTGGGAGCAGCTAACATCCCATATTGCAGTGCGAGGAGCACTTGACGGTTTTAGTTGTAACAAGATAGCGCCAATGAGCACTTTGCCATTCATTTGTATATGTATGCAACAGAATCGCGTAAATTATCAATCGCATAGCCTAAGGCCTAGGTTAAGGCTTAAGCTTATGCTTAGCCTCAGACCGAGACTGAAATTGCAATAGGCGCAGTGGATGCACCACTGGCTGACGCGTGTTATGCATGTGTTCAGTCACAGCCGTTTCATCCTTGACCTAAACTGCTGGATTACCTTATCATGAATATTTCTTTTGCAACATCTTTACAGCCACTCACACTTACGGCTTGTTGGGAAACCGGTAAAATTCGTATGGACATGCCGAGCGCATAAGGTATGGGGTCTCAGTCGTTCTAACCGGTGACTCAGTCTTGTGCCCCTGGCTCAAGTCTTGGCTCTGAGACACACACGAAGGGCCTAAATACACGCCAATAAGTAGCACCCACACAAGGTTTACAGGCCACCGAGCACAGCCGCAGTCTTCGCCACAAACACACACGAGTCGCATCTGCGTGTATCACGAACCTGCGTACGAACTCTTCGGGTGGATATGTCGTCGTCGTTGAAAAGCGCGCGTAAAGTGGATCATTTGGTTTTTTACTGAGATTTTCTGCGGATTTTTCCGAGATCCAGGTATTTTTCGGCTTATTATACCGATGTGATCGTACGCGGGGTTTTTTGATAAGGTTCGCTCAGCGCCGAAAGCACCGAGGGACGTCTGAATGATGATGATCGATCGGTGTTGATAACCGTCTCATCGTTTACGTGCCCTATTTCTTTCGGTTCCTTTTCCGACTTTCAGCTCACACTCGTTATCCATCCACATTATTAGGATGGAATGTTACGGTGAATTAAATATAGTTTCCAGGTGAATTTTCAAATTGTACGTTTCATTTTCATACAACTAACCTATGGATCATAATCAGCAACTCGTTCAAGAGGAAATTGTCGAAGAAGTAATTGATGATGGCACTGCTCAGGTTTGTGTTCGTTTCCTTTCATCTCTGCCACTGTTCATTGTTTCATTTTTGTCTCTTTTGAACCATTGTTTTGCAAAAATAACAAAAAAAAAACGAAATCGTAAAAATTGAAAGTTTTATACATTCGTTGGGAACAAGATTCTGTTGTGTATGTGTTGCGTTTTGAGTTGTATGAAGAGATGATCGAAGTAGAAGATGGTGAGGAAGTATTGTTGGAAGAAGTCGAAGCAATCAGTGTGGATGGCACTGATTATGAACATATCCCAGGTATGAACTAAGAAAATTAACTTCATCTCCACTTAATTCCAAGTGCTTTATATATTTGTTGGGAATTTGTTTTTTCTGTTTCCACCGTTTTGTTGGCAGCACAAGTTGACTTCTTCAGGAGCCGATGGTACCTATCAATATGTTGTTCAAAGTACAACCGCAGGAACTCCACGCCTTCAAACAGTAGTCACTTCAGTTGGCAGCAGCAACTCAGCACCACAGCATCATTCACGTTTACCCGTCGTTCGTTTTCGGGATTTTGGTTGTGTTTCATTTCTTTTTGTTCATTCTTATCAGTCGACAGTGAATGTAAGGTGTAGTGGGAAATGTTATTGTTGTTGATGGTAACAAAAATGCTTCATAATTACTGATGAAGAATTGTGTTTAGGTAAGAAGCAATGCCGTGTATAGCAGCATTAGCGGTGTACCACAACAATCTACGGCAACACAGCATCAACAACAGAACAGTCGACCGTTAAATTCGCAGCACATGTACGCCATACGCGGCAATCAGGTGGCTCTTTCTTTCAATTATTATTCTTTTCATTCATTTGTAAAGTTTAAATCCAATCATTCCATACTTTTCATTGTCACACTTTTTTTTCAAATTTGAAAATGATTGTTTAGTTTTTCGCTTTCTATTTCATGTTTTGTTCGTTGTGAAAATCGATGAACCAGAAATAAACTGGGCTGATGAGCTGATTTTATTTCACATATATATTCTTGTTTATTGTTTATTTGCTTTTTGAAAAGTAGTATTTTCGAAGTTTTTTTTTTGATTAGAGAGCCGTTTTTTTAATCAAAAATTTTTGGTAAATTTGCAGTTTTATCGTTTGGATAAGTTGGGCAGTAGCAGTGGAACGGGTTCGATGAATGTGTCGAATGTTGGTGGTATGTTGCATCATCGACCCATCGTACAGATGGTTCAACGTGGTGGTAATCCATCTTCTGGTACCACTTCAACTCCAACAACCAATGAAAATATTCTTCCAATACGTCATCATCATCATCTTAATTCGGTGGGGAGAAATTTTTTCTTATTTTCTTTTCTTTTTGAAGAAATTTTTGGATTTACTTGGAAAAAACCTGAATGTGGATGAATTTTTCCAAAAAAAAACAGTTTGGAGGGGCTTACAGAAGTTTTCAAGAGAAGAGCTAAAAATGAAGTTTGTTTCATCTACTACAGCAACAACAGCAGCAGCAGCAGTCACAACAAGGTATTCGTGAGCCGTTTGTCGTTCAGTCGTCACTTCAGCGTAGTGGAACGTCGTCATCGTCATCCTATTACTTACCAATGCTACAACATTCCTCGTCGAGTGTCAACCGTACCTCAACCTCATCTCATCCGCTAACTCAGTCAGAACCTCGTATCCCCATCGCCTATCACTCCTCCACCGAAACTCCGGTCAACGCGTATCAGCAAAATCGTCTTCTTACACCCTTCTTAGCCGCACGAATGGTTCAACAACAACAACAAAAAAAGTAATCTTTTATTTATTTATACCCTTACACAGTTCATTCAATTGTTTTTGTTTGTTGTTTACTCTTATCGTCAATTTTATCAACTTGTTCTAATCACTATCACGAACGTTATTGTCATTTATGTCAGACGGCAAAGTGGTATCGGTATGAAGAAGCCGTGCAATTGTACCAAGTCGATGTGTTTGAAATTGTATTGTGATTGTTTTGCGAACGGTGAATTCTGTAAAGATTGTAACTGCAAAGACTGTCATAATAATTTGGAGAATGAGGCAGAACGATCACGTGCTATTAAAGCATCATTGGAGCGAAACCCGAATGCATTTAAACCAAAAATTGGTTGGTCTATTTTGCTTCTTTTATCGTTATCAATTGCTTTTATCGATCTGTTGATTTCATTAGTAGCATTTGATGATAGTGATTGTGTTATTCAAATCAAATAGTCGATATTTTGAAAGTTGATAGTCATTTTTCAGGTGTAGCCAGTCGTGGTCGTGTTGATTCCGAGCGTTTGCATCAGAAAGGCTGCCACTGTAAAAAATCGAATTGTTTGAAAAATTATTGTGAATGTTATGAGGTTTTTGTTGTTTTCGTTGACTTATTTTTGAGGATTTTTCGTTTCTCATTTCTGTTCTTTTTCTTCTGAATTAGTCGTTCGGTGTGTACGTTGAAAGGCGGCGCGCGACTAAAGTTGGAATTGGTATTGCAGGCAAAAGTACCGTGCACTGAACGTTGCAAATGTACAAGTTGCCAAAATACGGAAAACGATCGAGCTGCGAGAATGCGCGGTAAGTTCGGACACGGAGTCAGCGCTGAGATGCGACAATTGACCTCTAGTAGTCAGTCGTCCTCCGAAGCACGCACCTCATCGCCGTTCAGCGACGACGAAAGTGATGTGGAATCTCCCGAACCAAGTGATCCAAAAACGTTCGTCACTTGTGTTTACAGTCGTTATTATTATTATTATTGTTATTATTATTATTATTATTATTATTATTATTACTCCAGTTATTGTTGTTATTATCAGTGCTGTTATTTTTTTACAGTTTGCCATGGTTCTATATGACCGATGAGGTTGTAGAGGCAGCCACATTGTGTTTGGTAGCTCAAGCCGAAGAGTTGGAATCATCGGAAAGTGCGGTTAGTGATGAACAGCTCGAGAGGGCAGTTCTGCAAGAGTTCGGTCGTTGTCTCGGACAAATGATCGAGAACGCTTCGAAGAAAACGAATGGTGCTGTCGTTCATTGATTTATTGATAATTAGATATGAGCCTGTTGCGGACTGATATTGGTCGGTGCTGCATTCGAATTCGAATGAAAAGAATCTTTATTTTTAACGTTTGCTGGTGATTATAATGCTAATAATACTCATCGTATTGTGTTTTCATGAAGCTTATTGATTTTTTATTGATTTTGATCATTTTAATGATTACATTGTAATATATTTATCCGTACTGACCTATTTGCTTATTATTGTAATTATGGTAGTAATAATGATATTAACGATAACGTTGATGTTATTGATCATACTAATGATGATAGTTGTGATGACGATGATAATTGTTTTGGATTTAATTTCATTTGGATGTTGTGTATGAGTTGAATTGGTGTGTTTTGGCGATTATTTTCTTTTCATTTGTAATTCGTTTTATTGTTTATTTCAGTGATGAGGGGAGACACGAACATGAACGCCATTCAAATATGAGCATGATCATTGAGCAAGCAATTGCAAATACACTTTTTTCGTGAATAACTCTAATCAGACTGCTGAGCAGTGAATATAGGTAGTTGGAAAATTTCTGTTGTTATCGTCAGCACATTTTCCAAAAACTCCTCAACCTTCCCCCGTCCCCACTATTGATTTGTTTATTTGTGTACTTTTTGCACTTTTCAAAATCTGTTTACGCGTTGGCGTTTACGTACGCTTGTTCATCATCATTTCATGATATCAATAATACCTCCTTTTCTTGCGTTATTTAATTATCACTATTTGTTTGTCTTTATTAAATGCTACTTTTTTGCGGTACTTTATTATTGTTATTAATATTTTAAAGAAAAGTGTATCTATTTTGATCGTTTCATTGATTCAATGAACAAGTGCAATGTATGCACCATTTTTCGTTCATTAGATAATGATTAAACAATAGGAATGCGATAGATGAATGATGTCTGCATGATTTTTCAGCAAAAGCATATTTGCACAGGCCATATTTCTTCTTTTTGAAGAGTTTATCCAATTCGTTAACCCAAATTGTTCTGTAGTAGGCTAATGGCAGGAATTAAATAATAGATTGATGGATGGATGAATGAATATAATAATTAAAATGTGACTGGCTTGTCATATTCATACAGCAGAACAATTCAAATTAACATAGTCTGTTAAAGTGCTACTATAATAAGTGAAGCAATGGATAAGTGAATCAAACGTCTACATGGATTTGCAAAAACTGAAAACATCGTGACCGATATATCCATACATATGAATGTGAAATCTGTATAATGGATTGGATTGAGAATGGATGGCACTTGAGAGGATACACATATACTTCAATCCACTTCGATATATCTATATGCATCAGCAATCTATCCATCTGTAAATCAGTGATTGGCGTTTACTTCACTTCATCTGAAAGTGCATGATTATAATTGTTGAGAAGAAATTGGTACGTTCGTCGTCAGTTACTTATTTTGAGTTGGTGGTTTGTTGTTAGGTTGATGTTGTTTGAAAAGAGAATCGGAAAAGAAAGGAACTGAATGTTGCATCGAAAAAGAAGAACGATTGTGATTGTTATGTTTCGAAGTATTGCTCTTGATGATGGTGCTAACACTTTTTTGAAAGAAATCGCTAAGTAAAAACCGATCGCAATCTGCGGTGAACGAACCCTTTTGATGTGGGATACTGACTAAATACGAAAACAATTAGTGATGTATTTTAAACTATTTATAAACATACCAGTTTGATGCTTTCGTTCACAAGTGCTTCATTCAAATTTTGTAAAACATTCAAGGAACAAAATGAAATAATCACTTAAACCTGTGAGGAAAAGTATTAAATTGGTATACGTTAAATGCAGTGATAAGAACGCATTTTACAAAGTTCATTAGTTCTGCTCTCATTGCAACACTATTTGGTAACTCTTAGTTACCAAATAGCAAATTTGTCGTGTAAGCATACAAATTTCTAACAAAAAAACTTCAGTTATTAGTATTTGGTTGCTAATAAGAGTTAATTAATTATCTGATCAATTAAAGATTACTTTTTATTGTTTGCTGCGTCCGCATGAAGTACCGCAATTCAGATTTTTTGACATTGATGTGAATGAGTGGTGGATAAAGAATAATATTGCACACAGGAATACAGTAGCAGTGATAGATGTACAGACAGATGGATAGATGTATCTATAAGCAGATAAGGCTGACTGCTAGGCATGGAAATAATGCGAAGAATATGGATGGATATTGATATTGATATTGATATTTTCAGTGATACTGATAACTATTAATGATATTCATGTAGATGCAGTGATGGCTGCATAGGTAGAATCATGGTGGAACTAGCTAGAGATTTAGATATAGCCATACGTATATTCATGCATCCATCTGTTGTGTGCGTTCTAGTATGCATGAATATTTATGTGCGTTCACATTCACCATAGTTACATGAAATCAAGTAAGCAGTACTACGTCTTATTCAAGCAAGTTGTTTATTCCACGCAGTATCTTACGATTATTCATTTGAGGTACAGTCGTCTTCTTAAACTTTATCAGTTTCCTGTCACAGTACATAGTTCCTGTTATCATTTTTCCGTATTCAGTCCGGTCCGATACGCATCAAATCATATCATCTCATCACTATCAGCAGCCAGGAATTCTTGAACGAAAGGGGAGGGGGAAGGCAACCCTAGAAAACCACAACGAGTTCAACTTGTCACCGTCACTGTAATCCCACCAAGAGGTCACCATTCCCCTCTATAATTCATACCCATTTTATAGTAGCTATCTTGAAACATTTCTTCTTCGTATTCCCCACCCAAACCCAACCACTTAGTGCTCCGAAAAATTATCTTCAAGTGAGGTCAGTAATAATGGATGTGGTACATTTCAAGATGCTGCCGATATCATTTTCATTCTGTATCAGTAATGATGCTTAAAAGTAATTCATTTGATGTTTATATAATAACTTTCTTATAAACGGGTAGAGGCTTGATCAAAGTCGAGTGAAAATTATATAAGTCTAGTAGTTGTTATATGAGCATGGTCAGCATTAGTGCGTTTATTTAAAAAAACAAAAAACATTGCAATTGTGAATGATTGAATACGATTGCAGTTAAGAAGGATGTGATCATAATGATTATGATAATTACAACGCGGATATTATCAAACGAACTGAAGAAAAACTTCTGATGATTTATTCTATCCTAGAAATAATAAACTTCCTTTGAAGTGATACCATCGGAACATCGCACTGGTCACATATTCCTATTATTACTGCTGATATTTTTATCACTATTAATCTTATCATTATTACCATTATTATTTTTTACTGTTACTATTATTGTTGTTATTGCAAAATATCTATTTAGCATTATTGTCACATTTATTTATGAACATTCCCCCTTCACATAAATAAATATTTCCTAATCAGTGAAAAAGACTATGACCTAAACGACCAATGATGAACGATATGTTGAATGATCATAGTAATAGCAATAATAGTAATAATGGTAACAAAGCGAGTAATAATATTAGTCGCAGTCGAAATTCTTCAAAAAAGGAGAAAACGAGCAAGAAGAAAGTGAGCCAATAATTCAACTGTTTTATAATCATTACCTTCACTATCATTCTATAAGTATTATCATTATTATTGTCCCAGATATCGTTATTGTCATTAAGGCAATTTTAAATAAAAACTATGAAATAAGAACGAGTTTTTCATACAGTTGCAAGCTAAAAAATAAAATCAAATTACCTTCTTCGATACCCATAAGCACAAAAATAATAATACTTGGTAGCAAGCAAATCGCCCAGCCATATCGGTGCGATTATCGTTCTAAAATTCTGAGGAATGAATGAATTTTTAAGAAATTTGTCGACATGATTCCTCCCTTTTGGGTCATATGATCACATTTGACCAAACTTTGGACTGTGCATCAAATGCTCAAAATTATACACAACTGATCAATTTATAATGACCAAAATATGTTTTTGACTTAATCAAACTGAAACTTAATCACTCGGTTTTGAGCAAAATTTCCAAAATAATATAAACCATAATTTTTTATTGCACAAGGATAACAATTCAAAACAAAAATATTTTCAAGAAAACCACAGTAAATGAAGCATTAAAGAAACCAATCTCAACCTCGACAAACAGTGATTCTGGTTTGATTCCCTCATCAACAGCCATTCCGAATTGTTTAATCGGTAAACGCATTCGTGTCTATCGGAATGGTGACGTCTTTTATAACGGGTTAAAGGTCACTCTTTATTCACTCACTACACATATATGCCATCATCATCATCTTTTATTATTATTATTATTATTATTATTATTATTATTATTATTATTATTATTATTATTATTATTATTATTATTATTATTAATTCACTTATTT